GAAGGGGCGGGGCGGCGGGACGCGACGTCGGGGCCGTTGCCGGGTGACGGCGGCCGGATAGCCGCGGGGACCGGAAGGGGCGGGGCGGCGGGACGTGATGTTGGGGCCGTTGCCTCAGCGCCCTTGGGCGGCTGACTTCCGGTGGGGAGGGGTCCTGCTAGGGTCCAGGAGAGAAGGTAGAATTTGGGCCTCGTCGGTTTCCAGCGCGCGCTTTGACAAGCACGGAGCCCTTAACGTGTTATAAATTGTATCCCACGTTCTTTTACACTCTAACATCGATTTAATAAAAATCTCCGATTATTTAGAACTTGATCAATGGCTTAATCAGAAAATACACTTCATTGCAGTTTCGGCCCTGCTGCGCGGACGGGGCCGGGGCGGGGGGGGTGCTGCTTCCAGAGCAGCGGCCGGCCGCAGTCGCCCCTCGGGGTGCGGGACCCCCGGGGGGGGGCGCAGTGCAGAAGGCCGGGGGTCCCGGGCGGGGGTGCGATGGGGGGTCCCGGGCGGGGGTGGCCGGCCGGTGGGAGAGGGGAGTCGGCCCGGCTCTTCTGTTAGCACTTCTCAGGCCGCACCCAGGCCCAGCGCCTGCAGCCCCGCGTCACCTCCTCTGCACCGGGGGCTTCAGAGCAGCCTTCGGACCAACGGCGCCCTCGGAGGAAGAAAAAGAACCGATGCTAAAACGGATCTGCTACCAAGAGCACAAATGAATCATACTTCCTTTTGCATTTCCTAAAATGTAGGTCACTGCTCACGCAACATGGAGTCATGCTGCTCACACTTGTGGCCACAAGATCAGCAGCTAAGCCTTGGGAACCTTACACTGTCTCCCTTGTACTAACAGGAGGAAAAGTTTCACAGCCAACAGGAGCGGCCCCCTGAAAAGTCCCAACAGTGTCAAGTGGATGTTGAAACAAACCTGGCGGACCGTGTCCCCCTCAGGCCGGTGTCCCCCTCAGGACGGTGCCTCAGCCAGCCAGCCGGGGAGACTGCGCACCCTGTTGCCCAGCGCCCTGGGAGAGAGAGGCTCACCTGCGTGGGTCCAGGGTTGGCCCCTCCAGCCCCAGGCTTGACCGGTGGCAGCGGGGGTGGGAAGGTCGGCTTCACACCCTGGAGGACACAGACAGTGGACGCTGGACACCACTGAATGCCCCGTCTTCCCCAGCATCTCCTAGCAAAGTTCCCCAGGTCCACTCTGTTCCTGACCCCCCTGCAGGCTTCTCGACAAAGTGCCCCCAGATGGGGCAGAATCAAACCCAAACGTGGCAGAACCCCCTCCTGGGCCCATCAACCACAACCTACCTCACCACCTCCCCCTCTCCCTGAGCAACCCACCCCACCCTACCCCAGGGTTTCCCAAGAAAAGCTCTTAAATGGCCAGAATGTGGGTCTTTGGAGGTTCAAAAGCCAAGAATTAACCACTAAACAATTAACCACTAAACTTTGCATCTGTTTGCATTTCAGCTTTCTCTGGGCTGGCAGGACAGGTGCCCCCAGGATCTGGGGTGGAGGAAGGGAAGGCCCAACGGGAACACTGGCCACACCCCCGCCCCCCAGGGAAGACCCTTGGTGGGCACAGCACAGCTCCCTTGTAGCCTTGGCTGGCTATCATCACTCCTTGGCTAGACCCCTTTCTGCCCCTTTGCCCCTGTTTTTGCTGTCAAAACCCCTCCTAAGGCTATTTCTGTGGCTTTGCTGTAAGCCTAAAATTAGTTCAAAAAGTTAAAAAGGAAGGAGAGAATCTTCGTGAAGCAAACAGCACAGTAACGGTTGCTGCCGGCAGGGCCTCTGAACGGACGCAGACCCTGGGGGTCACAGCGGAAGGAGTCGTCTGCCGCGCATTCTCAGAGCATCTCCAGACTTGAGCTCCAAAGGGAAGCTGAGGACACCACCGGGTCTAGCCATGGAAGGGCCGGCAGCCAGGGAAGGGCACGGGCGCAGCCGGGGGAGTCTCCTGAGTGGCAGAGGCTTCTCACCTGCTTGGGCTTCAGTTCAGGGAGGGGCTTGGCAGGAGGAGCAGGGCGGAGCTGCTGGGAGGGAGGGGCGGCAGTCAGGCCCTCTGGGCCCCTGGGTTCCGTCAATGTGCTCTCGGGGCGGGGCCATCAGCCTTATGAGTGCTGCCACGGCTGTCCCAGGGTCCCCAGCCCACCAAATCCAGCCCCCAGCCCTTGCACTCCCCGCCTAGGACCCGTTTGGTGCCCCCAGATGGCCTGGCTGCTGGGCCCCACTGCTGCTCACCTGGTCTGGGGGCGGCCGGGTGTACACAGGAACAGTGAAGGGAGGGTTGGACATGGTGGCTGGAGGCTAGAGGGGAACAGGGTGGAGAGCCTGGGTCTCACAGGGAGGCTGCCTCCAGGGAGTCTGGCTTTGGAGCTCTGCCCCCAGCTCAGGACCCAAGGTTCCCACCCCTCCCAGAGGAGGAAGACTAAAGTGTGCGCATGCAGGGCTCTGCCCCACCCCGTTGGCCCCCAAGGCCTGAGCCCAGGTGCGACCCCCACACTCCCTTCCCTCAGCCTTGTTGTGGAGGGGCCCGAAGGTGCTGGGCAGCAACAGAGGGTATCTGGGCCTTAACACCTTCCAACCGAGCCTGCAGAGGCCGAGAGCCTCGGGTTTAAGTGTGGGTTCTCAGACTGTCCACCCGTAAAGCCTGCTTCACGGAGGTGGGGCAGCTCTAAGCCCTGTTGGGAGGGATCAGGGATGGCCTAGGGATGGCGGGATGCAGTGCTTACAGCAGGGGGCGGCTGCTTAGGGGTCACTGTGGAGGCCGTGGGCCCGGTGGGCTCGCTGGAGTGGGTGGTGGGGGCCGGAGCCCCACCCTTGGCTGGCACACCGCGCCCCTCGTGGAACAGGGGGTTGGAGAGCCCCTTGGCAGTCTTGGGCGCCGTGTTCCTGGGGAGAAAGCAAGACTGGTCAGTGTGTCCTGGCCTCAGGGTCTGGCCCAGGGACTCAGGGGCTCCAGGGTGTGTCCTGCAACCGGCAAGAAGGGGTGAGGTCCCATGGCAGCTGAGCGTAGCTGCGCACCAGGGGCAGAGCCCACATCATCCCGAGTGCTCTGGCACTGATTAGGGGATGGAGGGGCTCTCTCTGGGTTTACGTCCACTTGTCAGCCACGTTTGTCACCTGCTCCCCCTCCTCGAGAGGCAGAGGCCCCAAGGCCCTCTACGTGAAGGGTTGTTCCTCTTCTTCTCAAACTTCAGCGGGGCATTTCCCAACGGTGTGTGAGCACGGGAAGTGCCCCTTGCCCGCGATGATGTTTTGCAACCCCAGAGCAGGCTCACCTCCCAGAGACGCGGCGCCGGGCCTTCAGGCAGAAGACCGCTCCGGCCAGGAGAGCGACCAGCAGCACCACAGATACCAGTACGCCCACCAGGAGGCTCCTGGACCCTGTGGGGGTGCATGAGGCCAGGTGTCAATAGGGTAGTGAGGGCTGGGAGGGCTCTGGGGCTGAGGAGGGCACAGTTTTCTCAGGCAGAGAACCGGGAGCCCAGGGCCCATCTGAGGAGCCTCCGCGCTGAGATCCAGTCCGTTACACCCGCGCTGTGGGCTCTCAGATGATGGGCTAGAGGACTTGGCAGTGACTGGCCCCCAGCCCACAGTGACGTGAGCAAGGTCTGGCCAGGCCCTGGAGACCATGGTGCTGCGGACGGCTGCCTGCACAGTGGCCACTGCAGAGGAAGACACTTGGGGGAGTGGGGGCCCCTCAGACTCCTGTGCTCGGAAGGGGGCTGAGGAGCCAGCAAAAGGGCTGGCATGCTGTCACTGCTACTGTGCCCTCCCTCTAGGACGGGCCTCTCGCCGGCCTCATGTGGGGCCGAGGCGGCCACACCGGCTGCTGGGCTGTGCCTTGCATCCTTGGGGTCAGAAAGCCCGGGATCAAGGACTGCAAACCTGAATCTCTAACGATACCCCGAGGGACTTGGGGGCACGTGGTGTCCTTCTCAGGCCTGCCCAGGTGGTCTGAGGAAGGATGGGACCCCCGCTGGACCCCATCAGGCTGTGCAGGCTTGCAGGTGCCAGGGCGGCCGGGCCTACCTGTGTGCACGTGGGGCAGCGGCTCTGTGCAGCGGGGCGGCGCCCAGCCCGGGTGGCAGTGACACTCTCCCTTGTGGTTGCACACCTGGGGGTGAGTGTGTGTGAGGATCAGGCCGCTACACACCCGGGCAGCCGTCATCGGCTGCCGAGCCACCAGGCCAGGCCTCACGGAGAGGGACTCTACCATGCCCCCCGGCTGGTGGAGGATGGGCCGTGAGCCCGGCTCCTCCGTGTGTGGCTGCCACAAGCGAGGCCTACGTCCAGCGTGCCCACAGCAAGGCCAGCACGGCAGGCGCAGTTGGGGGCGGCTCCCTGTGGGCTGTCCTCAGGGCACGTCCCCAAAGCTCTCGGAGACAGAGGCTCGGGAGGGCAGCGCCCCAGCCCCTGGTGCCTCGAGCTCTCAGGGCTGACTGTCCCCACATCTTGACACAGGTTCCTGAGAGCGGATTGCACGCGTCCCCATCTCGGAAGAGAGCATGTCAAGTCTGACCAGTCCCCGGCCCCCGTGTCCACCAGCACCACTGCCCCGGGCCTCAGTGTTCACATGGGACGCCCTGATCCCCACCAGCTTCTGGCCGTGTCCCCAGGGCGCTGGCTCGGCCCCTGCTGTGCCTGGACTCATCTCGAGCGCGGCCTACCCGTCTCCTTCAGCCCCAGAGGGCGGGTGGCGGGGTGTCCCGTGGGCTCACGTACCCCATGGCTGTTGCACTGGGCGGAGCAGTTTCTGGATCTGTAAACTTGCAGGTGCTGGCAGAGTCCTTTCCAGCAAATCTGGAAGGCAGTGGGGGGTTTCCTAGGGCAGACATTCTAGACCACTGCCTGGCACCTGTGTCCCCACTTCCACCATCGGCTGAAGCTGACCTGCAGCCTGCACGGCGAGCTTTGGGGGAGGCGGGCCATGGCCACCACATCCAGGCTGGCCTGGCCTACACTCCATCTGCTGGCCGGCCAACCCACAGCTGCCACCAGGGCCACAGGACTGGCCCCACCCAGGCCCAGGGGGGCGTGGACTTGCAGAACAGAACGGTCTCCAAACCCTGGGAACTGAGGACCGGCTTCTTAAGCAGCCCCCCACCCCACCCTGTGCCCCTGCTGAGTCTCTCCGAAGCACAGAGGAGTCCGTGTGCACAGCCTTTGGACCACATGGGCTCGCCTACGTGGGACGCGTGTCTAGGACCTGGGGGCCCAGCAGCCTGACCGCCACACGGGGCACGTCCAGGCTCACATCTGGGTCACAGCCCCTACCAGCTGCAACCAGCTGGTGCGCTGCAGCAGACGGGGCTCTGGGTGCTCACCCTCTGCTCGCCACACTTGGTGCCTTCGGGTACTGGCTCATACCCAGCACCTCCCTCCAGGACAAGAGCCTTGCAAGTGCCCGCGTGGGAGGTGAGGATGCAGTAAGTCCGCTCTAGGGGCTTCTGTCCACCCTCACAGTATAGGATGCCACAGTTGTTGACTCTGTGGACAGAAGAACAAGCCATGCAACCAGCTCTGCTGGGTCTCCCACCTGTTGCACGCTGACCCCCCTCTTATGAGGACCTGGGAGCTGCAGGAAACGAGGCCCAGAGCCTCGGACAGGCTGTAGGGTCCGCTGATTGGCACCTACCCTGCCCCCCACGACAGCGACACACCCTCCCTCCCATGAGGGCAGATGCTCAGGCCTGGGGGTCCTGGAAGGCAGGGCGGATCCCCTGGAGAACCTCTGACTCAGTCCCCAGACTCCTTTGTGCAGAAGACCCTCTTGGGCAGCCCCACTTCCAGGGACATCCTGTGGCCCTGGACCCAGGGGAGTCAGGCCACGGATGAGCACTCACCTGCTGGAACTGTGGGCGGGTCCGCCCTGGCAGCCTGGTGAGATGCTGTAGGTGTAGCATGTTTCCACAGCAACCCGTGAGCCTGTGGGGGCCAGGAGGAGGTCAGTCCTCCGGCTTGGGCCCCGCAGCCCCCCGAAAGCCGGAGGGCACCCGCCTCACCTAGCCCCCACAAGTCCTGGCACCTCCGGGCCAGCACGGGGCAGACCCCGTTGTAGCAGTAGCCCCCCGGGCAGGGCGTGCCATTCTCCTGGAAGACGTCCTCCGGGCACACTGGCTGCTGGCCATCGCAGTACTCCTCAAGGTCACACGCGTCCTTTGGGGGACGGCACAGCTCACCGGCAGGCGTCACCTGCCCAGCAGAGCAGAGCTCAAGTGTGTGTCAGCCCGCTCCCCGGGGCCCCTTCCCACCTGCTGGCCGGGCCCAGCTGTGCGGGGCGGGAGGGGAACTGACCCTGCAGCTTCGGCAGCAGGCACCCTGTGCGCACTGGGCCCCCGTGGACAGCTGGCAGGTGGTAGCATTGCAGCAGGGGTTCCGACAGGCCTGGAGGGCAGAGGCGGGGGTGGGCTCCAGGGCAGAGCCCGGGCCTCCCGCCCCGGAGCCCCCGGGTGGAGACAGTCCTCAGGGAGCAGGACTGTTCTGCTGAGGGGCAGCACACAGGGCAGCTGGTGGGTCACGGACAGACATCCATACGGGCAGGGGGCGGCGGGCATCTGGCCCGTACCTGGGGCGGGCCACAGTCACACTGCTCCCCACGCTCCACAAACAGGTTCCCGCACACAGGGTCGCCCACCAGCCGGCTGGGGTCCGGGGCATTGGCCAGGCAGGCTGTCCGAGGCTTCTCCATGAACATCTCCAGGTCAGCGCGGCTGCACTGGCTGAACATTCTGGGGAACCTGGCGCTGGGGGTGCAGCGTGCCTCCGTCAGGGGTGTGGGGGCGGGGGCACCCAGGGCACCCCGCTCTGCAAGCGGCCCCCGGCCTCACCCGATGCTGGCCGCCATGATGCAGCCGCCGCCCTCCCGTGGCACAGGGCAGTAGCAGCCCTGGACGTTCTCGTCGTGGTCCATGCCCAGGTTGTGGCCCATCTCGTGGGCCATGGTGGACGCCACGCCGATGGGGTTCTCTAGGTTGTGGTCCTAGAAGGCGAGGCTGTGCTGGCCGACGCCGCAGCCCTTCCCGACCCCGCCCGCCCTCACTGGCCCGGAAAGGCCGCAGGTTGGCACTGCACCCCGCCAACAACACTTCTCAAAGCATCAGCGCATCCTCCAGGGGAGGCGGCCGCCCAGGAGCACCAGCCCGTGGGGACAGCCGGGGACAAGCACGCGGACCTAGCGCCCGGAGGCCGGCAAACCTGGTTCACAGCCCCCGAGTCCTGCGAGCACACGGCCGCCACCTTGGCCAGTCCCACGGTGGTCCCGGTGAACTTGACCCCGCTGGAAACAAGAGCAGTGTGCAAAGGTGGACGCCCCGAAAACTGCCTCCCCCCACATAGGCCTCCCTGGCCGCAAGGGCTCGGCTCTGCGCCCGCCACCGCATACGTGATGAGCTGCGCGTTGTCGTGCTGGTGCCGACCCACCAGGTTCTGCGTCCGCCACCGGAGGAAGTTGTCCAGTGTGACGTCGGGGTTCGAGCTCACGTGAATCTGGTCCTTGTGGTTCCACATCTCCAGGCCCACCAGGACCACACGGAAATTGAGCTCCTGATAAAGCTGGGAGGGCAGGGAAGCCCCAGGTCAGGCTCGGGGCCCGCGAGGGCCGCAGAGCCCAGCTCCCTGCCGGCTGCCGGTCCCCCTGCCGGCCCCGCCCCGCTCGACGACCAGGGTTTCTACCCACCTTGTCCACGTGGTTCACCACCTCCATCACCCGGCTGCGTACAGCTCTTCTACTCCCCAGCCGCTGGAACTGCAGGATGGAGGCCCTCAGATGCCAGCAGTCCCCCGGCCCGCCCCAGCGCCACCCCCACGCCCTGCCCCACTACCTCTGTGCTGTCCGTGACCACATACAGCTCCACGTAGCGGGTGTCTCGGGGCAGTGGCCAGCTCTGGGGGCACAAGAAGCTGGTCAGCCACCCCAGCCACAGTCCTCCTAGCCCGGGCCCAGTTTTCACACACTGACCCTCTCCCGGGGTCCTGGAGCCGGCACCCAGCCCCGTGCTCAGGAATGGGGGTGCCATCCTGGAGGCTCCAGCTCAGGCCAAGGGGTGATCCTTGCAGCCACTGGCAGAGCCAGGCCTGATGGGGACCCCTCGGAGACACCAGGACCCCCTGACTGGGTTCAGTGGGTAGAACCCTCACTCAGCCGAGCACAGTGGGAGTCTGGGGGATGCAGTCCCGGTGGGCAGCGGATGAGGAAGCTGGTCTGCCCCACCCCACAACCTGGGGCCTGAAGGCTGCCGAGATCCGAGGCCCCAAGGCCTTCTCCAAGCTGGTGTTGCTGACCCCACAGGTCCCGGCCTTCTGTTGCAGGTGCTCCGCCCGGTATAGCGCGTGCTGCCCCTCTTCACCGTCCCCGTCCAGGGGCTCGATCAGGTGGACGTCCGAGCCGGCCCGGAAAAAGCCCCTGAGGGCAGAGGTAAGCCAGGTGGTTCTGAATTAGAGCATCCACACGGGCATCTGGGGAGGGACAAACCCTTGAGGGACAGGGGGCCTCCTTCTGGTGAGGACGAAGCTCCATCTGCACGGGGACGGACGGCCCCCCAGGCGGGCGGTATACGGGGCACGGCCTCCAGGGCCCGAGGGGAGCCCTGTAGCTCGGGGAACCTGTGACTTCTAACAGGCCAGACGCCCGTGTGCAGGAAGGTCGTCACGCTGAGCCCCTCTCTTCTCGGCCTCAGTTTACCTCTCTGGAGCATGTGGGGGATGGCTGACACCCCCCAGGTCTGCGGCACTCACCTGAGGCCGGCACAGGTGCTGAGGCTGGCGGCGGAATGCTGGTGCCCCTCCACGTGGCCCTGGTAGAAGCAGTGACCCTGCAGGAGGGAGGAGGCGTGAGTGGCCCACGGCCCTGCCCCCGCTCTGCCCACTGCCGGCCTTGCGGAGGGCTGTCCCGGGCCCATACCTGCCTTTGTGGGTGCTCCACCACCTGGGAGCCATTGGCAGCCCTGTAGGTCTCCGTGTAGCCCGAGCCTATCAGGTCCCTGGAAAAGAGCCACTGTGGTGCCCGGGGCCCCGCCTGCCCCCACAGAAGCCACCTCTGGCCTGGCGGAGTGGCCGGGCCAGGGAGCTGGACGCCTAGGGCATGGATATGCTGGGCGCAGCAGGCTGGGCCTCCACTCACCTGTTTTTCCTCAAGTGCAGGGTGAAGTTGTGCCCTTGGGTCCCAAGGATGTAGCTCACAGTCTCCGGGTATAGGTCCTGAGCCGGGAGAGGGAGGGGTCCAGGGTGAGGGGCCCTGCCCCAGGGCCCAGCACCTTAACCCTGGGTGCGGTGGAGCTTGGCTGGGCTGGGGATGCAGCCAAGGCCGGGGCACCCTGAAATCTGAAAGTCCCTCGGAGGACCCTGAGGGTCGTTCAGCATCGAGCTAGTATTAGGAAGCTGAGGCTGGGCAGACCTCAGTTTCCTCATCTGTCCACACAAGTAATGACTAGAATCCCCTTCCCCAGGAAGCAGGGGGAGGGGGAGACATGGCCCTGAGGAGATGGGGACAAGGCACGAGATTGAGCACCCCAGGGGAGTGCCCCCCAGCCTGCTGACCTCTTGGGACAGGACAGCATGAGGGCCCAGGGCAGTAGAAAGCTTTCCCCAGATGCCAAGGTCAGGACAGGGCTCACCACAGGGATTTCAGGAATGCCCCCAGCCAGCCTTCTTGGGGAATCCCAGCCCAGCTCCAAATGCCCCACAAAGGTGCCGTCACCAGTCAGTCACCACAGTCACCACAAACACAGAAGGTGACACACCCCTGATGAGCCAGTGTCTCTGGTCTGAAAGGGATCTGACTTATCTGGCCAGTGAAACTGGGACTTGCCCTGGGCTAGCAGGGCTCCCGAAAGGCAGCCCCAGGGCCCACACTCAGCAGAAGCCGCTCGCCTCACGCCCCCACCCGAGGGCAGGGTGAGGCAGGATGCAGGGAGGTGAGGCCTGGGGGTGGAGAAGTGTAGGCAGACACAGACGGTCAGCCCCCCAGGCCGGCTCCTCACACTGGCGGGCACACTGGGAGCTACAGACAAAACAGGCTCTGGGGGGCCAGGAGGGACCCCCGGGCCGGCTTCCCCGCCAAGACTTACCAGGTGGGAGGGCAGGGCTCGGCGGGCACGGGGTGCTGCCGGCAGGCGTTGGGGCCACACCACCTCATACTGGTCCACGTGAGGCAGCGGGGTGCTGGGGGCAGCCACTGTGGGCGAGAAGGGGGTCAGCAGGCTGGTGCTGGGCCTGCACCTCCTCCTCCAAGGGAGTCACAGGTGAGCATGAGCACCAGGGACTCGGAGACGGGGTTCCCCTGCCCTGGGTGGGGTCCACAGGGCAGCCCCTGATAGCTCCTCCCCCAGGGCCTAGGGCTGACCTAGACGTCCCCTCCCCTCCCCTCCCTCGGGTCTGAGGGCGCACTCCGGCCCTGGGTCGGGGGGTAGTTCTGCCCTCCTGCCCGCAGGCAGTTCACCCAGCCCAGATCCAGAAGCTCCCAGGTATCCAACAACAAACAGCCCTGGGAGTGGGGCCCCGACAACAGCGACCCCGCAAGACTCTTCTCGGTCTCTAAGTGTTGATGGCTGTGTCTCCACCGCCACTATCTTGCGAAACACCAGGAGAAAGAGGCCCCACCTCCCAGACGTGGGCCCCTCCAGCCTGGGGCTGGGACACCACCGAACCCAGCCCAGAAGGCTCCCCCCAGCAGCAGGGAGCGTGGGGGTCACCAGGTCCCCAGCCGGCGGTGGGTCCCAAGTGACTAGACTACCCCCTCCCACCCTCCTCCCCCGGTGCCCACCCTCAGCTCAGGTCACTGCTCCTCGGTCCTCCCTTCCCTGCCAGGCTGGGGGGTCTGGGTGGGAGTGGGCATTCACCCCAAGTCTCCGGGGTGGATGGGGGGTGGCGCGGTTCTCCACCCTGCCCTGTGAGTCCCCGGCCGGACCAGCGCTGGGGAAACGCCCCAGGCGGCTTCTCCCCCAGTTCCCTTTTGAAGTTTCCGTCTGCCACCCTGGGCCTTCCCGGTGAGGGCTCCCCTCAGCGCGCCCGACCCGAGACTGACCCAGCGCTCGGCGGGGTGCGGAGGGCCAGGGAACCCGACCGCGCCCGGCACTCACCTTGCAGACACAGCGCAAGCACCTGGAGCCCCAGGCCGCGCATGGCCGGGGCGCGCTCGGGGTGCGTACACGGGCGTCCGGGGCAAGAACAGGGGGCGCGCACGGGCTCCGGGGCCAGGGGTCCGGGGTCCGGGGACGCGGCGCTCGCGACAAGGTCTGGTCTCCCGGCGCCCCGCCCGGAGACCAGCCCCCGGCCCGCAGCCTATCGGTCCCTCCGACGCCGGCAGGGGCGGGGCTTGGACACCCGCTGGGGAGGGGCGCCTCGCCCCCGGCCGCCGGCCTGGGGCTCGCTCTTGGGTTTTCCCGCGTCTACTACTGGGCCCCTGGGGGCCCCTGAACAGCGCCCGGTGTCCAGCACGTGGAAAAAACTTCGTAAATGTGGATCGAATTAACGGAGGGGGTTGGCGGACAGACTAAGCTGAGCCCCTCCTTGCAAGGTCGCACGCCGCTTGGTGCAGGTGAGGAAGCCCAGGCTCCGCCCGGCCCAGGGGCCTCTGGCCAGGTGGTGGGGCAGTGGTTCGGACCAGGCTCTGTCTGGGGGCGTGGCAGGGGGGTGCTCAGGTGCAGATGTGCCCTCAGACTTCCTGGGGAACAGAAAGCTCCCCACACCGCACCCTGGTGCCTCTGCTCTGCAGGGTGGGGCTGCCCCCACTGTGGCCTGGCACCCAGGCTTCTCCGGTGGGTGCGTCACCAGGGGTCCCAGACCGCCTGCAGCCGAACCACGTGGCTCCGGAGCTGCGTCCTGGACAAGCTCCCTGAGGTGAGGGCATCAGTCTAAGTGAGAGCCTGTGGGCAGCACAGTGCAGGCCAGAGGTCAAAGTCTAACAGACCCTTATTTCCCCCAAAGCGGATGGCATAAAAACCAAAGGCAGGACGGGCTAGCCGACCTTGAGGCATCTCAGGCAGAGGTGACAGAGGTGTAGAAATGGTCTGAACACGTGCTCTGTCCCCCTTACGTACCACTTCCTGTGATGAAACAAGGTGAGACCCCACGCCCCCAGCCGTCTCCATCTTCCCTTCCTTCCTTGTATGTTGCAATTATTTTAAAACAGAAAGTAAAAGGCTAAAGCCCCGTACTGGCAGAAACCAAAGCTGCCACGGACGCACACGCTCCGTGGGCCCCGGACCAGACTGCCCGCGGGCAGCTAGCGTTGGCAGCCAGGACCAGCACGGGCCTGCTCCTAGGACACAGGACCCCACGCAGCCCCCCAAATGCACCTCTTGTCCCACCCCTCCCCCCTCACCACCTGCAGCCCTGAGGTGCAATGGGCAAGCCTGCTGCCCGGAGCCCAGGATGGGGACACAAGGTTTCTGGGTCTCAGAGCAGGGCAGGAGGGCCACAAGCCAGGGTCCGACGGGTTCCTCTGCTCAGCACGAGGTTTGCACAATGCTGGGGCTCTGGCCACGATGGCTGCACACGCTGCAGATTGGAAGAGGAAAACGCCTGTGGCTTGAAGGGGAGCCCCCAGCTCCACGGTGTTTCCTGTGCAAGGCAGCGGCCAGGCCGAGTGACCACACCCCAGCCGCAAGGGGGGACCCAGGCTGCCTCCGGGAGGCTGCTTCTGGCTCTCATTCCTCCTTGCCCCCCAGGAGGACACCCCCCCCCCGGAGCAGGTGGTCAGAGCTCAACTGGGACAGTGACACATGACCTCTGGCAGGTGGGCAGCATGGCGGGAGTCACAGGTGTGGGGCGGGCCGGGGTCAGGTTCCACCCAGCACCTCTGCAGGCGGGCAGCTGGGCTGGGCGGGCAGGTGCTCCTGAGGACTCCCCCACCCTCTGGCCCGGCCCTGCGACAGCTCGAGGACCGTGCTGCCCCCTAATGCCCAGAGCCCAGCCTAGCACAACAGTGGATTTCTGGGAGTCCAGGCCTGTGTACCTGACCAGCTGTGGACACCTGGACTCCGTCCCCTGCATGGCATTTTGGAAATTATCTTCATGTTGCTCAAATGCCATATGTTTTCACTTCTCTTTATTTGAGAACAGAAACATTTTAAAAAGTGACCCTGCTCAACTGAAGGAAGCTCACAGAGCACAGCCGTGCAGACGCCCGCTCGGGTCTGGGCAGCTGCTGCAGAGCAGAACCCAGGACCCCGAGACATGAGAGCAGCACACAGGGACAACATTCAGACTTTATATTTAAACAGCAACAACGGGTGGTTCAGCGCTATTCCAGTAAAAGGTTCTGAACTCATTTCTCCACAGCACCTGCAGCCTCACTGTGCGGTGACAGCGACCCTGGGCGCTGATGCTGGGGGGCCCCGTGGGACAGGCACCTGGGGGGCTGCCTTCTGGCTCCTCTCTGCAGAAAGACGCTCCAGGCGCTCCGTGTAGAAGCCATTGAAGTCCAGTCTGCGGGAGGAGAGGGGCTGGGCTCCCATGCAGATGCCCCAGGTGCAGAGGTGCCCTCCCTGCGGTGCCACGCCAGGCAACTGATCGACCCCACAGGAAAAGGGCCGGCTCTGCACCAGGTGCGAGGAACACCCACCCACACAGCCCTCCCTGGTTCAAGCAACACTGACGTCAGAACCTAAACACACATGCAAACTGAAAGCGGAACAACCAAAACTCCTAATTAGGGGTTTAAGCAGAAGCATAGCTTCGGTTTCTCTGCTAAAACCCCAGCAGAAGAGCTGTCCCCCACCCCCCACCCACCTCCCTGGCAGCCCTCCCCGGCCCCTGGATGTTGGGGCCCGCCTTACCTGGCACAAGGGCCCAAGGGTGCCACAGGCTGGAGGCACCTCCCAGGCCCTGTACTTAGGACATCAGACGTCCGTCTGACACCTTCCCAGGCAAGGACACCCCCACCCCAATCCGGAAATCAGCTGACCCACTGCCTCCCCTCTGTAGAGCGGGGCGTCCAGGACACTGCCGGGCTCCACAGGTCATGGAAACCTGCTGGCCCCAGAACCACAAACTGGCTGACCAGTTTGCTGGCCCCCTGCACCTGTCTTCACGCTCCTGCACTGTCCTCCCCAACGGGCCCTCCCAGAGTCACCAGGAATGCTCCGTCACACCTCCTAAGAGTGGTGACAAGGCACAGCCAGCCCCAAGGGCCCAAACAGGAGGCTTTAGTAAGCGCTGCCATGACCCCCACTGTTGGCTCCCAGTGACTTCCTGGCCTGAGCAGCACCGCTGGTCTTGTCTTCCCTTGCCTGCCTCCTGGCTGCTCATCTGAAAACGGGGTGATGCTGCCGCCATGCACGGCCCAAGGCTGGGGGCTGGGGGGGCCCTTCCAGCGTCCTGGGTCCTGGCTCAGGGAGCAAAGCGTTGGGCGAGCCTGAGCCAGCTCGGCCCACAGACAGGGACCAGCGCCAGGGGCACAGACGGTCACTGGTGCACACACTCACGAGTGAACACAAACCACCGCACACGTGCATCTGTCACTTCAGGGAGTGAGCAGTGACCAGCAGCAGCACAGGAGGTGAGGGACGAACGCCCGCACATCCAAGCAGACCCCGCCTCAGTCACTCCCTCCCTGGGGCGGCCCAAAGCTGTGTGGTGACGGCGGGGGGCGGGGGGCGCACGGGGGAAGCCTGGGACTCCCGGCCACACAGGGACAGGATGGTGCCCATGGCAGCCGTGGCAGGAGGCCATCCGCACCCACCTGGAGATGACGCTGGCCATGCTATGCTCACAGTCGCTGGTGCTGTAGAGGCTCAGTCGGGCCAGAAGGTCAAGCAGATGTGCCGAGAAATTCTTATCAAACTTGTTGATGGTGGCCTCGAAGCTGGAGGTCAGCTGAGGGGCGTCCACGTGCTCAGCCAGGTACTAGAAGACACGGTCGCGCACCGTGAGTGCCTCTAGCCCCACCTTGGCACTGCTCCCTACCAGCTCGGCCTCCCTCCCCACCACCCCCTTTTTTTTTAAATAGAAGGGATTTGGGCAAGTTTTCATGTGATAAAAGTTAAGGCATCATAAAAGTTCCTGAGACTGCGGAACACAGAGACATGCTCAATTTGGGCAGTTGGCGCCCTGCCCTGCTCCCACCACAAGGAAGCAGCAAGTCCATGCACCTCATGGATTCTTTACGTGGCTCAGATTTTCAAGGGAATGCAGCATTTTCTCCTGGCTCCCTCTCAGCAAAGGGAGTGGACACGGGAGTGCGGGCCTGAGCTCCCTCCAGAGCTGGGCCTGGTGCTGCAGGGCCCATGCCCCTCCCCGCATCCCCTCAAAGAAGGCGGAGACACCTCGCCCTTCTAGTTAAGGCTGGACTCTGTAGTGACAGCAGGGCCCACGGCCCCGTGCCTGCTGCGTGGCAGGCCCTCTGCAGACACCCCAACCCCTGCTCCGGGGAACTGTGGCCTCACCCTCGAGCACAGCGGGGCTGAGGTTTGGACAAGTTTGGAGAAGAGATCCTCTAGCTCATGTTTGGAACCTAATTAGGATGAACTTTTTTTGATCAAAGGGACAACAGAATGGAGGGCTGCAGCGGGCCTGCTGGACGAAGCCGGAGGCTGCACACCTTCCTAGTGAGCTCCTTGCGGGCACGCTCCTCCGCCCGCTCGGCCTCCGTGGGCGGCCCCAGCATCGTGCCATGCTCCAACATCAGCCGGCCCAGCTCACCGTCCAACTTCATGCTCTGCGTAAATCTCTTGGGGTCAGGAAGAAACGCTGTTGTTAGTTTCAAGGAACCCAAGTGGACTATGTGCCACCACACAGCTGAGGCGCCATCTGCAGATGTGGGGACAGCAGACGTGAACTCGGGGAGCTGCACCTGTGCCCACATGGCTTCCAAGGGTGCCTGTCGGAGGGCTCGTCAACAGTCTTCTGAAGACAGCGTCTCCCCACGGCGAGCCCCATACGGATCTGGCTCCCAGGCCCCTATCCCCCAGAGGCTGGCGACCACCTTGCACGCCCTGGAGTCCTGGTGAACCCTGTGTCACCCCCTCTGCCTCCCAATACTTACTTTCTGTATCAGCATTTTAGGCAGCTGCTTGTAACTGAATCAAATAACTTGAACTGGACAAAAAGAACACCCGGCGCCCAGAAAAGGGCTGGGGACAGAGATGCTGCAGCTGCTGGTCCCGGCCCACGACGGCGGAAGGGGGCTCAGACAGACAGCCCCGCACAGGGCGGGCAGAAGGCGGGCGGGCTGCGTGGTAGCGCACCTGCATGCAGTTGGTGAACATGACGCACACGGACATGAGCCTGGAGAAGACTTTGAGCAGCTCGGGGTTGGTCAGCATGCAGTCCTTCAGACAGTTGTCCAGGAAGCTCGTGTGGTGACCCAGCACGTCGTCGATGTTGGACGCCTGCGTGGAGAGACGGCACCTGCCTTGGCCTTCGGCACGACTTTGCGAGGAGACCAGACCCCATGTGGGCCAGGCTGCTGCTCTGTGTACTTCTCTTTTGTTTCCTTTCCTTAAATGACCCCACGGCTTTTGAGAGAAAACTTCAAAATACCCCCACAAAAAAATGCTAAACATGCCGCCAAAAGGCCACGGTTCTGGTTCTTCCACGGCTGCCGTCCCTTCATGCTTCTGGGACCTGCTGACAGGCCCCAGGGGTGCTGGGATGGGGGTGGGGGGCGCAGAGCCACCCCAACCCCAAGGCTCTCCGCACCACCTCAGGGGAACCCCCCCACACCCCAGTCTCACTCGCGCACACCTTTGCTGTGTTCACAAAGAACCCGCTTCCGTGTACGGAGGGCTTTGCGGTCTCCTCCTCCCCAGCCCGGGGCAAGCACTGCACTAACCCCCCGACATCCGGCCCACTACGTTCCCTTCACAAGAACCTACTTGGTGCAACCCGGCTGGCGTAGAGCCTTTTAAGTGTTATGCCGTATTAAGTTCAAACTCACAGACTTCAGGTTTTTCTCAAGGATGTGCCACGTTGGCTCCATCACTTCACACATCATGTAATACTGAATGTTCTGAACAAAGTTGAGCATCCGCTGTCGCAGAGTGAAGGCACCGGCAAACCTGAGCGAGCACAAGGAGGGTCACCGCTGGGGCAGCCGTGGGCCCCCCGCCCCGCTGTCAGGGTGCCCTGCGCTGAGCGCCCCCACACAGGCACACACACCACCCGGTGTCACCGACCAGCGTGCGCGCTGGTGGGAGCGAACAAGCACCCCCAAGCCTCACAGGGCTCACGCTGACAGACCCGACCACCCGCACGTCCGCACCAACAGCTGAGGGACAGAGCCACGTCTACCGTGGGCAGCCACGGCCCCGCGCTGCAATGTGAAACTCGTCACGGGTCGAAAAGCTACAGAGCTGTATGACAAGCTGCCTTTCTAAAGGGGTGAAGAGTGAAACGCTCCTGCCTTGAGGGGAGCACCTGAGCGTGCAGAACAGACGCACCACTTTGCCGAGTGTAACGAGTACTGCTTGGCGGCCTTGTTGCTGATCCAGACGTTGCACAGCTGCCGCTCCACGTGCTTGCAGTAGAACATGTGTCTGAAGAGCATCTGGTAGCGGGTCAGGGCTTTCCTGCAAGAAGGAAAAGGTGACCGACACCTGGTGGGCGCTGCTGGCCTCAGACACCGTGAGGCTCACGGCACACAGTGGCCGAGGCTCTGACATCGCTGATGCCGTTCTGCTCCCTGGCCACCAGGCAGCCAGGCAACCCACCCCGCACAGAAGTGGACGTGGACAGCTGCTGCGAACGGTCTGCAGAGTGGATACAATCCTGCCTTCCGGGCAAACCTGGAATTGTGTCCAGGGCAGCTGGCGCCAGAAAGATCAATGCTCACCTATTGATAATCAGTGACAGAGGCCACTTAACAACATAGTCAAAAGAGAAGGCCTCCAGGCCGCTCAGCGTGAGCTCAGTGGGGTCGGCATGGACCATCGCCTTCTCCTGCTTGGTCTCGATGGCCAGAACCCGCAGGAGCTGAGTGATGAGGTCATGAGGCATCAGATCGATCTTGAGAAAGACAAAGAAAAAAGCGTCACATCCTGACCGCTGCCCCAGCCCAGCTGCCCCACGAGCTGGAGAAGCAAGTCTGGGACTGAGGTAGCTTCCTCTGACGTAGACTCTGCATCCTGAAGGCTGGCTTACAAAACAAGTGTCTGCCAATAAAGCCTCAGCCACTTTCCACCAAAGCAAAAAGTGCAGAGAGATCATTTTTAAGATGCCCGATGGAGTAAACGAGAAACTACACAGCAAAGCCTAAATCCCTTCAGATTTATAATTTTACCACAAGTGCCAGGACCCAGCCGAAAGAGCGGCATACTTAGTGGAAAACAGTAGGCTGACCGTGAACAATGTTGGGGCTGGGGCGCCAACCCGCTGGTTCAGTTGAAAGTCCACGGGGACCTGCAGACCGCCCGTATCCCTAACTATGAATAGCCTACTGCTGACCGAGAGCCTGACACACGTGACGAGCACGTATTTTGTACATCATAACATGTACCGTGCTCTTATGATAAAGTAAGCTACAGAACAGGAACTGTTAATAAAAAAGAAAATACATTTATGTCACTGTACTGTATTTATCGATAAAGATCTGTGTGTAAACGGATCTGCGCAGCTCACACCCGTGTTGCTCAAGGGTAAGCTGCGGCATCACCATCAGGAGTTGGGTTCTCCTGGGGTTTCATGGCCGTCTTGCTCAGGCAGCTGCCCAACCTATCTGGACGCAGGTTGGTGGGTCTGAAGGGCACTCCCCCAGCCCCAGGCCCCGACCCACCTTGAGGTCATCCTTGAAAGGGTCCGTGTTGGCAGTGCTCATGCGCAAGGCCAGCTCCAGCAGAGCCTCCAGACGGGTGGGCGTGATGTCGTCCACTGGCTTCTTCAGCTCCTCCTCAGTGAGGTCCATGAAGTGCACAAAGAAGTCCCCCTGGTCCATCAGGAAGTAGCGCTTGATGGACCTACAGAGAGGGTGGGGGCACGGGGGTCACCAGCGCGGCTGTGGGACCTGCAGAGTGGCCTAGACTTGGGAAAACTGACAGACGGCTGACAAGGAAGAGCTGCGTGCAGACGAAGGGCTCCCAACACAACCAGCAGTTTGGATGATGAGGTGGGGCCAGGTGGGCCTTGGGCAGCGCAGCCCAGGGAGGACGAGCCAAGCTCCTCGCCCAGCAGCGCTCCCCTAAGCAGGCCCGACCCTGCTCAGCTTCTGAGACCAGACGAAATCAGGCGTGTTCAGGGTGGTATGGCCATAGACCAGAGAAGTACATTAGAAAGGGGAGAAACGGTCAGCTTCACAAATGAGCAGAAACGAACAGCTCTTAGGCACAGGTGAGGGACCGCTGTGTTCAGAAAGGGCTGGTGGCCCTGGACCGGGGGCAAGACTGGGCAAGCTGTGTCACCCCAAGGTGACACAGGCAGACATGGCCCCACTGGGCTCTGGGTAGCAGGACCAAGGTGGCAGGGTCACAACTGTGCAAGGTTCTCAGGCTGGAGACAACCTAGCAGCATGCTTGTGTTTCTGTCCACAAAACAGAGCCACTAAGAGTAAGTTTCTGGCCTTGGTCAGACGCCAGGAGGGTTCCACGAGCCGAGCTAGAAGGCAGAAGGCAGACAGCTCACCTCAGGTGCGCCACGAGCTCCTTCTCTTCCATCAGGAAGGCCAGCAGGACCTTGCTGGCGTAGTTAAAAGCCTTCTCGATTTGCTCAACATATGCTCGCTCCTTCAAAGTGTAGATGATCTCCTTGGCCACTGGGCAGGTGACATCGTGACCACACTCTCTGACTACATTCAGATATTTTCCTGAAAAGACAAGGAGAAAACAGATTAAAAATTTCACTATACCGACACTAAACCACAGGCCCGAACCTCGGATACTGTGACCCCAACACTAGCTAGCAGACTGGAAACATGGTTCTAGAGCCCTTTATGTGAGGCAGGGAAACACAACTGATGCCCGTGAAGGACAGAAGCAGTAAGTGCTACAACAGGCTAGACTCTCTTTCATCAGGATTTTTCTAACAAAGAGCACAGAAATAATTTTTAAAAAGCTTTCAGAAAATGAGGTTCCCAACCATCTTCCAACCCCGTCCTTGATCACCAAGTCCCTGGCTGGAAGCCTGTCCGGTTCCCAGCCCATATGATGGTGAGTGGAACACCACTGGGCCACTGAGGCCCAGGTCCTCGACTGCTGTTCCTATAGTGGTGTATGAGACTGACCCAGAAGGCCTGGATCTTTGGACTTTGTTTTTGTTGCTGGCGCTGAGCTCCTAAAACCCTTGCAATCTTGTGGCTCATGAGCCCCTTCCGAGCACAGATGAGTTTATGCCCAGGAGGTGACTCTGGGCAGCCCCCGTCCAGCTCAGGCTGGGAGCTGCGTGCTGGGGAACCAACCCTGTGACCAGAGGGCGGGAGCTTTGGTCCCACCCCCCGATGCCAGGCTCGGAGAGAGGCTGGAGACTGGATAAATCAACTGCCAAACATTTCATCGCTCACGCCTGCATAACGGAACCTCCCTACAATTCCTAAGTGGAGCGGTGTGGAGAGTTTCCGGGTGGTGAACACGTCCACACGGGGATGGCGCACCGAGCGCCATGCACTTCGGAGCTCCTGTGCTCGGCACCTGCCCAGACCTCGCCCCGTGGACCTCTTCAGCTGGCTGTTCACTTGCATCCTTTCTAATAACCCGGTAATCTAGAAAGTAAAGTGTTTCCCTGAGTTCTGTGAGCCGTCCTAGCAAATCATCAACCCCGAGGAGGGGGTCACGGGAACCCCCAATCCGTAGCCACGTCAGACAGCGGTGCGGACAGCAGTGTTGATGTGGGGGCCGCCCTGAGGGACTGAGCTCTGAGCCTGAGGAGCCCGCGCCCACCAACCCTGAGAGGTCCGTGCCGGGACTGGGCTAATTCACAGGACGCCCAGCTGGTGTGCACAGACAACAGGAGAGCTGGATGTTGGTGTGGAAAAGCCGCACGTCTGGCGCCGGCTGGGAGCAGGAAAGCAACTTTCCTGTCAGTGGTAACAGAGCTCTAGAAACGAAGTAGTGAAGAAAAGCCACCTGGGAGCCAACCTCCTGGGGTCAGGGAACAAAATGACAGCACCCAGAGCCGCAGGAGTCAGACGGGACAATGGCCAGGCACAAGAAGACCCTGTGGAGGCTCTGCAGCCCTTGCAGCGCACGGCGGGGCCCCTGCCCAGCAGCAGGGGCACAGAGACAGAGCCACAGGACAGAGGGCGAGCGTGTGCTGGGCTGGGGCGCGAGGCTCACCTGTGCTGAGCACCTTGCCGACCATCTTCTGCAGGAAGGAGGGGATCTGCCGCTGCACGACGGTGTACCTCTGATCCCAGTACTTGTCGTTGTAGTCCTCCTGGATCTTCTCCTTCCGCAGCTCGTGCTCCTCCACCATGAACTCGCTGGCAAGCACAGGACGCTCTCAGGCAGCAAGCCACGCCAACAGGCCGATGGGCTCAGCATGTCCCGCGCCCACCGTCCCCAGCTGAGAGCCCGCTCCGGGGCTCCGAGGACATTCAGGGCCACGGGGGCGCAGGTCGACCTCTCTAGTTCCACCCGTCAGGGGAACGTAGCCCTTCCCTCCCGTGTGAACACAGGCAACGAGCCGACCCCCACAGCAGGGGGGCAACCCCTTCACGCCTGTTTCAGATATCTCTTAGCGAGGCACGGTTTTAAAATCACATTGTCAGGCCCCCCCAGACTGTTACGCGAATCACCAGCAGGGAAACGCTACTTCTAGGCCTGGCTTTTCAAGTCCTTTAGCAAATACACCTCAACAGGACAGACTTGTCTATGGGCCGCCCGGCTCCTCGAACGTGCTGGACACCCACCCTCCCCAGCTGCGACAGAAGCCCGCGGCAGGAGGCCGGGAGCCGCACGGAGGTGATTCTGACCCCACCACTCGACACGCTGAAGCCTCCCTGGGCAGCGTGGCTGCATGTGGCCTCTTACCCGGGTTTCCCCAGGCTCCACGAGCCCTACCTGTAGGGGTCATTGATTATCCCTCTATAGATCCACTTCTCCAGGATCTCGAAGTAGGGCACGCTGGCGGCCTTGGTTAAGTACAAGCACAGCTCCTGCGCCTGGCTGTCGCCCGTGTAGTTGAAGCTCCGGTCGTGGAGAAGGCTCAGGGTGGACCCCCCGACACACTCGCCCTTATCCACCGAGGTGGCTGCCAGGAGGGGGGGCGGCACTCAGTGCTGAGAAGGGCTGCCCGTGGCTCCCCCAGCTACGTCACGACACCCCAGGTGCTCCTTTTGTGGGGGACACTCAAACCGTAAGCTCGTGATCACTAATGAAAGTTTATCAGTAAGAGCTTCCAGAGTTTTCCTCCCACAGATTAAAACACGAAGCAATACAGGCTTTGGCCTCACACCCTGGCGTCCACAGTGAAGAAACGAATGCCTCGCACGCTGGTCTGGGAGTCTCACCTTCACACGCCACGACCCACCCGCCATGCAATGTGCCTGCCCACTGCCCCAAGTCCCTCCCATGGCCCGGCCGACATGGCGGGTGGGAGGGTAGGCACGCACCAAGGGAGGCCAGGATGTCGACGGTGCGCATGGCCGGCTGGATGTAGAACCAGAGCTTCTGAAGTGACAACAGGCCCTGCCTCTGCAGCTGCTCCAGCTGCGTGACCAGGATCAGGTACTCCTTCACTAGGGTTCTCATGGCTGCCGCCAAGGCATGGTTCACCTGTCCGTATTCAAAGGAAGACTTTTCTTCAATGAACCTAGGAGGGAAAGGAGCACCCAGGACCCATGAGCAGGGGAGGCTACATTTTCAGATTAGATGTCAGATGCTCTGAGCCCCCTCCCCACTCAAGCTCTTCGAAACCAGCCCCCTGCACTTGTCCCCAGGCCCTTCAAAACTGTGTCAGGCATGAAACCAGGTCACAACAAGATGAGGACGCTCTTTAGAAAAGGAGTCAAATGATCTTTACAGACACAAAGTGGGAGCTGCAGGGGTCAAGAGCACCTGGGAAGGCCCGTGTCCAGCCTCAGGTCCCGTCTGGCATCTACCTGGTCACCGTGGAGTAACTGGAAGCCACGGGGAGGATCCTGTTCACCAGCTCCCTGATGGACAGGTCGAGGTTGGGGTCCACGAGGAAGGTGCGGCTCTGCCTCCCAGTGAGGGGCTGGGCGGTGATGTACCTGCCGTCCACACCCACCAGCACATAGAGCAGGTCCTCCACCACGGCCGACTCTTGGGAGGCCAGGGGCAGTGTGCCTGTGGGCCGCAGATACCAGCTGGGCCATGGCCTCACCTCCAGGGCCCCTCACTCCCACTGACCTTTCTCCTGCCCTAATCTACTCAGGCACCCTCTACTGATTTCTCTGTTATTCCCTCAAACATTCATGGGCATGAGAATCAGGCTGTTCACTGGGATCTGACTCATCCCAGGGAGCTTTTAAAGGCTGGGATTCCAAAAGCACCACGAGCACAGGACAGGTGGAGCCTGGGCAATGCACCACAGCCTTAAAGCACCAGGCAGATAAAACCCTCTGGACACAAATAAAAGCCTGACATTTAAAAGGAGAAAGTCAGGAATATAAGAAGCACTTCTGACGTAAGCTGTTGTTACAGCACTCGTCACAACTTAACAAGTCTGGGCTGCTGTGGGATGAAAAGACTTTCTTTAAAGACTTGGAAGTGGTGACAACTTCCAGCACGTGTGCACAGTATGAGACGGTTTCCTTACAACCACCCAGTTAAGGACAGTCACAAGCCATCAGCCAGGGCCGCCGGCCAAACAGGCCCAGGCAGCTCCCTGCCTCTCTCGGTTCACAACCCTCGGCATCCTCCTCTGCTGGGACAGACGGCCACGCATGGGGAGCACACGCAGCAGCAACAGAACGGTGTCCGTGCCCCGCCCCGCAGCCCAGCCCTGCGCAGCCGGCCCAGTGGGAGCCCGTCAGCCCCGTGGCACCGCAGAACCGGGGCCTGGCGGCGCAGGGCAGCGCTGCAGCGCACGGGGTGCTTCATGGGAGCACTGCTGGCGCCGCCCACCAGCGCACCAGCCTGCTGACGGCGGGCACAGGCTCTGAGCACAGCAGCCGCCGGTCCGGGCGAGGCACAGGTCACGCGGCCTTCAGAGCCACGCTCCGGACTTCGAGCTCCGCTTCCTCTCCACAGCTCTGACGGCCATCAGGACAAGCCCGCTCACAGCTCCGACCGGAGCGCAAGGCTCGGCTTCCTGGTTCTCAAGCGCAGGGGTGCCTTCTAGGAATCGCCATCAACCCCCCCCAACTCACTTGAAATCTGAGCATCAGCCCAGTTAGAGCCCCAGTGGATGCCTTCAGTGGGGGGGTAAGGGGTACAGCACCGGGTCAGCTGGTCCTGCGGTGGGGACCCTGGCCTCGGGGGGCAGATGCCACCCTGCCCTCCAGCACCCTGCTCACACATGGAAGAGGACAGCGTCGCAGGCTGAGAGAGCAAGAACAGCGGGGTGGCACAGCCAGCCTGGAGGCTGAGCGCTGAAGGGACAGGGGAACAAGCCAGGCTGAGGGGACACTGCACAGCAAGCTGTGGCCTGGAGGCCAATCCACCAGGGTCTCTGCGGCTCCCCAGAGTTTGAGGGGTCACTAGAGAAGCTACACGGGACACAGGCCTGAGGCTCAAAGCCGCTAGCTCTGGGATGACGGAGACAGCCACAGGGCAGCAGGGCAGGATGCGAGGCCCCACGCCACCGGCTACCTGGGCCAAGGGAAAGAAAGCTAAACACCCATTCCGCAGCCGCACCAGCTGCAGTTCAATGCCCATTCGCTACGTTCCACAGATGGCCACATACCAGACAGAGCAGATCCATAACATTCCTTTAACACAGCAAGCTCTGAAGAGGTGCTGAGCCCCAAGCCAGTGAGAGCAGAAGGACTGTGTCTGGGCAAGAGGGACAGATGGTGGCGGGGGGGGGGCCTGGGACCAGGCTGGTGCAGCGGGAAGGAAGCAAACACAGGTGCCACTCCAGGACCCGGTGACCTGTGACCAGTCGCCGTGCGAAAAGTGGAGACACTAGAGGGAGGATCAGGAGCCCCACTGCAGACACACACAACAGACAGATGGCCACGTGAGACCAAAATTCAGGGAGACATCCTGAGGATAGAGATCTGGGATCGCAATGGGGACAATATGATTCCTTAAAACAAACGAGGTCACCCTGCAAAGGAAAAGTGGCAAGGAAGACCTGGGAGCAAGCCCCAAGGATCTGCTTGGAAGATGAGGTGGGGGGAGGAGGAGAGAGAAAGGAACATCCAGAGGCAGCGAGACCACAAGAGCTCGGCACTACCGAGGATGAGAACTCAGGAAGGGCAGTGCACCACACGCTCAAAGGCACCGGGTGTTAGAAACACACACATCACCTACCTACAGGCACAGCCGTGTCCGTGCTCACGCCTGAGCCAGTCAGGAAATCCCCAACCAGTGTGGGTCTCTCATATACCCACGGCGGAAAGACAGGGAGGCGCTGGCCGGAATTTTTTTTGTTCTGCTTATCTCGAAGCAACTTTCTTGTAAGTTCTAGAGACTGGTGAGAATATTTTCAAAAACAAAAAGAGACATACTTTTAGTACCAATACTTAAAACTGACATCTACGGCACCAGAGGAGTCAATCACTCAACACAGGAGGGTTCAATAAAAACGTGAAGAAATGAGCGTCTCCATGCCCATCACAGCGCAAGGCTCTGGTGATAAGACAGGGACCCCGCCTCTCACTGGGGTCTCGGTCTGTGCAGAACCCACAGGTAAGCCAGGAGCACGGGCAACAAGCTGCACCTTTCTTGGGAACCCCTACACATAGACTCAATGGCTTTTTCCTGGTGGCACGAAGTCTAGACATGACCTGATGGGTGGAGACAAGGCCCCAGGGACAGCCAGCTAGAGAAGGGAGCCCCTACCTGGGCCCCTCAGGGCCAGGGGGAGAGGCCACCTCCTGCACATGCCCAGAGCTGCGGTCCTCCTGCGGGACCAGCCACCAGAAGCTGACCAGGGCAGTCCTCAGAAGTACCAGGTCAAGGGTGGCCAGCGAGAGGGGAGGTGCAACTATTTCCTCATCTGTCACACAGGGTAGCAGTGTGAGGACACGGGAGGTGCTGATGTAAGACAAGCAACCAGCGCTGGCTGCCGTGCCCGTCAGAGCCACTGAGCTCAACAAGCACAACTCTGCTCAGACCCTCATGGGTGCTGCTCTGAGGGGCCTGAAGGCCACAGGGGCAACCCCATGAGAAGACAGACGTACATCAAGGGACTGGGGCAGGACATGAAATCAAGAGCAGGAGAAGCGGTAAGTATGAGAGATAGAAAATGGTCTATAAAGTATATTCCTTTTTTTTTTTTTTTTTTAAAGATTTTATTTATTTATTTGCGAGAGAGAGAATGAGAGACAGAGAGCACAAGAGGGAGGAGGGTCAG